GAAGTCGACCTGGCCTGGAAGAGGGAACAGAGGAAGGGTGAGGGCGCGGAACTTTTGAAAATTGACCCGTTCGAACCGGAGCATCGTTCGAAACTCTGTGTGGTTTTCCTTTTCGTTGGTTTTCGCAAAACAGGTTCGTGAATGGGTTTGCGACATCGCGAAGATACGGACGACTGTTGGAACATCTGACTTTTTGCCTACTCTGACAACGTTCGAATGGGCTGTTTGCCCCGTTCGGACCTCAGATTTACAGTAATCGCGCGACTGCATTTGGGGCACCACTTCCGGACGGTGCTTGGGTTGGCCCTCGTGCCAACACGTCGCACACAAGAGGGCCATTACTGAATGCGACGTGGCCAGTCGTCTGTGGCGACGTTCGAAAACGCAAATTCAAAACCCATTCAAATGTTCCAACTTCAGCTTTGGACGACGTATGGTCCGAACCGTCGTCCGGTACGGACTTCGGTACGGAAATTTTTGTGAAAACTCAAATGTTCCGCGCCCTAAGTTTTGTTCATATTTGTGGCTGCACACTGTTGTCGGAAATATCCGTTTTAGCAGCATCCGCTTCAGCTACGTCTATCTAAATTGGTTATTACATTGATTATTGAGGTATGCAAGCAACGAACGCAGGAAATATAATAGCTCGCTATAAATATACGAGTATCCATAGGAAGCTACACTTGCTTATTTTGGTGCACATGCCAGTCAAGTCCCCTGCTATTGGTTTTTGCTCGGGCTTGTCAGAAGCAAATCGCCTTGAGAATCAGGAGTCTGACACACCCTTAGGGTGTGTCAGATCCTTCGATACCTGTTTTGGCTGGTATTCTGTCGACCATTTGGTCGTCAATTTCTTTTCGCGAAGTCGACGCATTGGTCGAATTTTTGTCGACAAATTACAGCTGTGTTTGCAAATCTGACACATTTGGTGGCCGATTTGCTGGCCGCTTATCAAATGTGTCAGATTTGTTGGCCGGATTGCTGCGACGGTGTCGCAGATTTCGCGGCGATACAATTTGCGATGATATTAGTGGCTGGCGTAAATATTTTACGTCGCAGGATTACTGTTGCATTGCCAAGTCGACATCTTGGCCGAATTCGAATCGACTATACGTCGGATTGATGTCGACTTTTTGAAACGGCCATCAAAATTACGAAAAGTGGCCGGATTATGCGAGCTCGTCGAAAATGTTTGCGAATTTTGCAACTGTGTTACCCCTCCAAAACCGGCCAGTCGGATTAGGCCGACTTCGGATCTGACACACCCTAACGCGGTTCGCCCCTTCAGCCCTCAAATTGGCGCCAACACGCGAAGGTCTACCATTGTGACGGCAGCGCAGATGCTGTACCGCCAAAAAACCTCCAAGGAGCTGGTTACATGTGGTAACATCCAGCCGAAATGATAATGGTCGTGGATCCCGATTCCCCCTACACAAGCCAAAGCGCGACGTCATCTGAGTTTCTGTCTGAGCCTCCCTCCACCAATGGCGATGCTCCTTTGCGGTAAATTCACCGGCAGTCTGCTTGACAGACCAGCTGCAAGCTCCAGGAATTCTCCATGTCACACTCCCAGTAATTCACGGTCGAAAGGATTAACGATAAAATACCGATCTGTACCGAGTAGACACCTACTCAGCCGCACTGAACAAGCTGCGCGCTGGCCTGTGGAGCTCTCGGCCCGCAAGCGCCATGGTCCAACGTGTAATCGATATCTAGCCTTGGAGGCACCAACTAATCCTCATCCACTTCCAAGGTTGCTTTGATCTCCCAAGGTGTAAACTTCCCGACCGTTGCACTTCCTTAGAACCCATATGAGAGCGATTAGCCTACCACTTATCCATCGTATTCTTTCTTGCAACTGTCTTTCGCATGGCTGGCGTGGTCAGCAGCATTTGGTGGCCTGCTTGTGACCTTGATGTCTTGTTCTGTAGTTTTCGGGACTAAAGTAAGAGGTTTCTCCTGGTTACCACTTGTATGGACGGTGAAATCGGAGTACTTAATCCTGAAAGTTCATTTTCTTATACGCGGTAGTTGCATCCCCGACGAGCTACGATAACTCGGATTTCGCTCAACGATGACTCGTCAACAAGTCACGGAGCAGACACGTGCTCGGTACGCCTCTTTCCAAAGCACTAGTGTTGTAAACTAGAAACAGGAATCCTCCTTTTAGACCAACCAGGACGCTGTAAACGTTTAGGAACAAACCCTAGCTTCAAGGCTTCACTCACTCTACAGCCATGGCCACCAGCGTAATCCATGTCGCTAACGCGAGGGAGCTAGTGCGAGAGGTAGAGGCTCTTTTCCCCAAGTTGGACCCTCAGACGGACTGGGATGCTCGCATGGCCGCCTTGAAACGCCTCGAAGGCCTCTTCCGAGGCGGTACGTGCTCCACTTTTTTCAGAGGTGCTGGAGGATTAGCGATTATCGTCACATGCTCCTTCTTCCACAATCTCTCAAGACCGACGTCATTGACAACCATTGCGGCTTTCGTGTAGCTTTATAACCTTCTGTTCTGTCCTTCATGCTCTGCATAATTAAAGACCCCTCCTCCCATTCGGTAGTCTGTACGTCGTCCGTACAAAGCTGGAAAACACTCTCTGGCTTCGTCCCTAATCTTGGTTCTGATTCCCGATACCCTGACTCTAATCTCAGCCGCACGATCTGGAGTATCGGGAATATCGGCTCTGCTCCGGCAGCTCATCATGCCGCACCTCGCCGTCCAACTCCAGGATGGCCGGTCGAAAATCGTCAAGCAGGTTAGTGTGACGGTCAATCCAAAATCGTCGAGCAGGTGACCTGACGGCTGGATCATGATACTTTATCTGAGACGGCCGGTTGTCGGCCGTCAAACACGTTACCTGACGGCTGATTCACAGCTGTGAAGCAGGTAACCCGATTGGCAGCAGTAGTGGTACAAGTGACTTTATGCTAGTGCGTGGTTCGCCATTTAGGGTTGACCAATCATTATATTAAGTCTCTGTCAAACAAATGAGTTCAATAAACGGTGTAGCAGGTTAGCAGTTCGCCTAGTAACGGTTGCGAGCTTTGCCGAAGCCTTCAAGACACTTATGTGGTGCATGATTCTGATGGCTCGTGGTCGCCTTTGACTGCACGTTCGTGCTTTTGGCGTCACCGACTTATTTTCTGCTCAAACGTGCTTGTTTCTCATTGCAGGCATGCAATCTCGTGTCAGCAATCGCGGAGTGCCTGTCCGGGGAGCTTGAAGCATGCGCAGATATCGTGCTTCAGGTCAGCGATTTTTCCCTTTCGTAACGAATTCCCCGCTAAGACATGCTAGAGTAGCGATTGCGATGCAACAGTCGCTCAGCAATTGCTGAGTGCCTGTCCGGAGAGCTCGAAGCATGCGCGGATATCGTGCTTCAGGTAGCGGCTCTTTGGCTCATCGCACATACTCTCAGCTATTCCCATGCCAGATAGGATCCGCGTTGCAGCAAGCCCTTCCGCAATAACTGAGTGCTTGTGTGGAGCACTCTCGAGGTTTCCTTTTCTCCGCTGCTTGATCCGATCTACCACGTTCACAATGCACATTTCACCAGTTTCACAGACTCGAGTGAGCATACCACTAGAATATCTAGCTCGAACATAGTTTTTTCTATCACTGCCCCGCAAAACCCTGGGGAGCATACTCCCCGTGTCTCTTGTCGCCTAACCTTAGCCACCCATCAGAACCTACTGACGCGCCTGCAGTCAGTACTGGCAGGTACGGGTCCTGTATCACCGCCAGGAACTGATGAAAGTCGAGTTTTGAGTCGACTCAAAACTCGACTTATCACACTCGCCTGCAGTCAGTAGTGGCAGGTGCGGGTCCTGTATCACCGGCACGACCTGATCAAACTCCTGGGGTCATCCGCTCAAGATAAGTTCCCCGAAGACCAAACCCTAACTCTACTCCCCCCCCCACCGCCATGTTCTCTGATTCTCACCCTCCTCCATCCACCAGGAACTGATGAAGCTCCTAGGATCGTCCGCGGCTGTTATGGCGGACTCTGCAGACTCCACCATTCGCACTGTGAGTGAGCTTGCCGTTCAAAATGTGTCCTTGCCATCCCTGGTGCTACCCCACTAAACCTCTATCTGCTTTGGTGTTCCCATCCCCATCCCTATCCCTATCCCCATCCCCTTCCCCGTCCCCATCCCATCCCCATCCCTATCCCCTTCCCCGTCCCCATCCGATCACCATCCCCGTCCCCTTCCCCGTCTCCATCCCCGTCCCCTTCCCCGTCCCCTTCTCCGTCCCCGTCCCCATCCCTGTCCCAGTCCCTTCCTTCCCCTTATCCCCGTGATGCCCCCTGTCCGCTGGCAATGTCTTGAACGCATTCTCGATTCTGTCTCCTTGAATGGCTTTGTTTCTGTGTTTTTGTTTTTACCTTGCCCGTTCCACCCAATCGCCCTATCAGGTGGTGATGCACTGCAGGCCCACCCGCACACTGAGCAAGGTGTTTGAGACGGCTCGGGTGTCAAAGAGCACCGTCGTGAGGAGCAGGTGGGTGCAGTACGGTATGGAGGGTAGAGGGCTCGGCGCCTTTAAGCTAGGTGTTTGAGACGGCTCGGGCGTCAAAGAGCACCGTCGTGAGGAGCAGGTGGGTGCAGTACGGTATTAGCCAGGTGTGGGCAGGGAGGACGGGAAAGGGAAGGGAGGTTAAAAAACATAAGGGATGGGAGGGTTAGGGTGAGGTGTACAGTAAGAAATTCTCTTGTAACAGGCGTATTTTGGGAGTTGAAAAAAGTTCGCCTGCTACTTCACCCCCGCATCACCCATACCCCCCCCCCCCCCACACACCCCTACACAAACCCCACCTGCCAGGTCTGCGGGGTACGTGCTCTGGTGCTGGAGGGGTGGGCCCACAGGGGCGAGCTGGTCTAGTCGTTCCCCTATTCCGCTTTTCCCAGCCCATCCCTTCCACCCCCCTCCCCCTGTACCCCCCTTATTCCTCCCCCTTCTCCACCCTTCCCCCATCCTCACTCCAGGTGTGCGGAGTATGTTCTGCTGGCGCTGGAGGTGTGGGGCCCGCAGGGAGAGCTGGATTGATTTGATCGTTCCCCCATTCCACTCACACCTCCCTTTTCGCCGCCTCTTCCCCATTTCTTCCCCCTCTCTTCCCCCGCCCCCTCCCCAGGTGTGCGGAGTATGTTCTGCTGGCGCTGGAGGTGTGGGGCCCGCAGGGAGAGCTGGTGACGCTGGTGGACGCGATTGAGAGCAGCATTCGTAGTGGTGTGCAGGATGGCACAAGGGAGGTGAGGATGGGAAAACAATGTATGACTCTAGGGAAAGGCACGAGGGTGTGGAGAGAAAGCGAGCTGGTGACGCTGGTGGATGCGATAGAGAGCAGCATTCGCAGTGGTGTGCAGGATGGAACAAGGGAGGTGAGCAGTGAGAAGCGGGATGGGAACAGAATGGTGTTGACTCTAGGGAAGGGCACAAGGGAGTGGAGAGAAGGCAAGCTGGTGGCGCTGGTGGACGCGATTGAGAGCAGCATTCGCAGTGGCGTGCAGGATGGCACGCGGGAGGTGAGGGAGAGATGAGAGAGGATGGGACGATGGAGGTGAGAGGACGGCACGCGGGAGGTGAGGGAGAGAGGAGAGAAAATGGGATGAGGAAGGTGAGCAAGCTACATGAGAGATGTGAAAGGAAGAGAGGAGAGAGGATGGAGTGAGGGAGCTGAGCGAGAGGTGAGTGAATGACACGAGGGACGTGAGAGGGGTTGAGAGAGGCGTAGGGAGGCGAGGCAGAGTGGGAGGCGAGGCAGAGTGGGAGGCGAGGCAGAGTGGGAGGCGAGGCAGAGTGGGAGGTGCGGCAGAGGAAGGAGGCAAGGTCGTGGAATGAAGCTTGCGAATTTGACAACTCCCTCACCCCACGCTCTCAGCTTTTGAGTCGACTCAAAAGCGAAATTTGACAACTCCCTCATCCCACGCTCACATTCCCTCTCCGCCGCCCCATTCTCACATGCTCCTTCTCTCTCCTTCCAAGCATCAGACCTCTTCCTCTCCCTCTTCCGAATTGTGCTGTACTGATGAAGGCGTGATTGGGTTCGCCCATCCGCCGAAACTAGTTTACGCAAGGAGGCTTTTCGGAAGCTAAGGGTTTTTCGGATCTGCGTTTTTCACACTCGTTTTTTCACTGTTGTTCCTTTGCTTAAGTGTCCTTACAACTACTGCAGCCCTTCGACTATGAGTCAAGGTGTCCTTCTCTCTCCTTCCAAGCATCAGACCTCTTCCTCTCCCTCTGTCTGACTCATCTCTCCCTCTCCCTCCCCACATCTTCTCTCATCTCGCTTATCAGGTGCGAGCCACAGCCAGGCGCAGCTTCCGGGAGTTTTCCCACTTGTGGCCGGAGCGGGCCGCCCGGCTGCACTCCTCATTTGACGTCACAGTGCAGAAGGTGAGGCGGTGGGGAGGGAAGAAGGTGGGGAGGTGGGGAGGTGAGGAGGTGGGGAAGCAGGGAGGTGGGAAGAATGGGAGAAGAAGGGAAGCAATATGGTATGCGTTCCTTACCTATCAAGTTGGCTCTTCTGAGACGCCTGAAAATTATTAAGGCGCCTCAAAATTATTGAGGCGCCTCAAAGTATGGGCGAAGGTGCAATATGGTATCCGTCCCTTACCTATCAAGTTGGCTCTTCTTAGACGCCTGAAAATTATTGAGGCGCCTCAAAATTATTGAGGCGCCTCAAAGTATGGCGAAGGTGCAATATGGTATCCGTCCCTTACCTATCAAGTTGGCTCTTCGCACCTGTCAAGGGCTCCTCTAATCATCTGTCAATGGTCTTCATCCGTCCTCTTTGCTCCTTTCGTTCTCTTCCTCCTCAGGTGTTGGCTCAGGAGGACAAGTCAGCAGCGCTGTCAGCACACTCCAAGAGAGACCCGCCTCCCCGCCCCTCGCCCTCACGTGCTCGCAGCCCCCAGCCCATCCTGCCTCGCTCCGCTCTCATTTCTTCTCTCCTTCCACCTTCCTCCTCCCCAGGTGTTGGCTCAGGAGGACAAGCCAGCAGCGCTGTCAGCACACTCCAAGAGAGACCCGCCTCCCCGCCCCTCGCCCTCACGTGCTCGCAGCCCCCAGCCCATCCTGCCTCGCTCCGCTCTCATTTCTTCTCTCCTTCCACCTTCCTCCTCCCCAGGTGTTGGCTCAGGAGGACAAGTCAGCAGCGCTGTCAGCACACTCCAAGAGAGACCCGCCTCCCCGCCCCTCGCCCTCACGTGCCCGCAGCCCCCAGCCCATCCTGCCGCGCTCTGCTGCTGCCCTTGGGAACCTCATGGCTGCTAGACGACAGGCTGCCTCTGCTACAGCCGCTGCTACATCCGCTGCTGCAGCCTCTGCTACAGCTGCTGCTGCTGCTACAACCTCTGCCACTGCTGGTACAGCCGCTACTGCTACAGCTGGTACTGCTGGTACGGCTCGTACGGCTGCTGTAGCCGAGGGTGTGAGAGGGGGACTGGCGAGTCTTAGCTTGAACTATGCAGCCGGTCAGGCTGGCAGGGGGGATATTGCCTCTAATAGAGCTGGTGCTACAAGCGGTGGTGGTGGAGGATTGGAAGGAAGGGGTGGAGGGGGAGGAGGTGGAGGAGGGATGGGGCTGGTGCGGGGTGTGAGGCTGGGTGCACAGGGCACAGCTGCTGCTGCAGCAGCAGTGAGGGTCGTGGAAGGAGCAGGTGGAGAAGGAGGAGTCAGAGGAGAAAGAGGAGTCAGAGGAGAAAGAGGAGGGGCTGTAGCAGGGGCAGGGACAGCAGGAGCAGCTGTAGCAGCAGATGTTGTGGGATCGAGGGCTGCAGGGGTAGCTGGGAGGGGGGAGCGGATTGGTCCACAGAGAGTGGTATCAACAAGTGAGACTGTCACTGCAGCTGATGATGATGATGCTGATTATGCAAGAGACGGGGTCTCATCTGGGGGAGGTTCACCTGGGAGTGAGGTGAACCTATCCCCCAAGATAGTCCGTGTTTTGGACTTTGACTCTGCTAGCCGCAGTGCTGGTGCTGCTGCTGGTGCTGGTGGTGCTGCTGGTGTGGCACGTGATTCCATGGACCATGTTCCTATGAAGGAAAACGTGCAGGGGAGATGGGGTGGAGCAGCGGCAGCAGGAGGAGGTGACTGTGGGGTTGGGCCGAGGCGGCAGAGGCACAGCATTGCTGCGTCAACCAATCTCGAAGGTCTGGTGCCTTCACGACCTTTAGGCACTGCTGCGAACAGGTTGGGGCGAGGGGGGCAAGGGGAAAGGGAGGCGGAGGGGAAGGGGGGAGCGGGGGAAAGAGAGCTGCCGGCGGGGATAGGCATGGGGATGAGAACGGGTAACGTGATTGGAGTTGGGATTGGGGGAGGTGGTGGGGAGAGGAGGGCGGTGCATGCTAGGAAGTCTGTTGGGGGGTTAGTGCGAGTGAGTGAGGAGGCTGGTGGGGGGATGGGTGAGGAGAGGACGAGAGCAGCAAGTGGGCTTGCTAGGCCTGGCGTTAATGCAGCAGCAGTGGGAGGAACAGCAGCAGCAGCAGTGGGGGCAGGCGCCAGCAGGAGAAGAGGCTCGTTACCTGGAACTGTGCAAACAGCACATGAGCAGAAGCAGCAGCAGCAGCATCAAAAGCACCATCAGCCGCAGCACGCACCACGAGCGTCCATGCCACCACGACACAGCAACCTCTCCCCACCCCCTCCTGCTCGCGCTCGCCCATCCCTACCTGCTGCTGCTGCTGCTGCTGTTCCCAGGCCTGCAAGACGGAGTATAGCCAGCAGTTATGGGGCTCGCGGGATGGGGGAAACAGGAGGGGCTGGAGCGATCGGAGGGGCACGCGGAATGGGATGGATGGGCGGGAGAGGAGGAGCAGTAAGAGCAACAGGGGTAGGAGGGAGGGATCGGAACCAGGGAAAGAAGCCACAGCAGCAGCAGGATGTGGGGGAGGTGATGAGGACCAAGGTAGAGGAGGGGTTGCGGAAGGGGTGTGACTGGTCGAGACGGGTGGCGGCATTAGAGGCGGTGAGGGAGTGTGTGATGGGTGGAGGGGACGCGGCGGCATGGGGAGGAGGAGAGGGGGATGGAGTGAGCCGCAAGGGTGTTCAGGCCGTTGTGAAGGTACGTGCCTGGGGTTTAACAGTGGGTTAAGTGCATGGGGGTGGGCGGTGGGTTAAGTGCATGGGGGTGGGCAGTGGGTTAGGTGCATGGGGGTGGGCAATGGGGTCAGAGTTTGCTTCATCACCATTTTCCCCCTTTTTCCCCCGTTTTCCCCCTTTTCCCCCCTGTTTCCCCCTTTTTCCCCCGTTTTCCCCCTTTTTCCCCCCTTTTCCCCCCCCCCCCTTTTTCCCCCGTTTTCTACCCCTGCAGCACCTGGAGAGGGTAGTGGAGCTGCTAGTAGCGGGGATGGAGTTCGCCCACACCAAGGTCTCCTCCTCAGCTTTGTCCCTCCTGGAAGACCTCGTGCTGCACTGCCCACCCATCCTCGCCCCCCCCAACCTCGACAAATGGCTTCCCCCTCTCTTCTCCCGCGTGGCTGACACTGGGAAAGACCGCATGCGAGCACAGGCAGAGGGTATACTGGATTGTGCTTTGAACAGCTGGTTTAGGCGTGGGGATGGGTGCGGAGGGGTGAGTGGGGGGTTGAGTGAGGTGGGGAGGAGTGGGGAGGGGTTGAGAGGGGGAGAGGGGGAGGCGGTGCAGGTGCTGCTGCCGGTGCTGGAGCGGGCTTTGGAGGGGCAGAGAGGGCCGAGAGTGAGGGCGTGTGTGGTGGAGTTTGCACTGCTGGTGCTGAGGGGGAGAGCAGGGAGAGAGGAGGAGAGGGAGGGGGAGGGAGAGGAAGGAGAGGAGGACGGCGGAGAGGAGGGGCATAATGGGAGGCAGCGTGGTGGCATCGCAGTGGCCCGAGTCAGAAGGAGCACGGCGGAAGGTGAGTCGTTGCTGCTGTCAGGCGAGTCAGGTGCTATTATTTGGTGCTGGAGAGGGCTTTGGAGGGACAGAGGGGGCCGAGAGTGAGGGCGTGTGTGGTGGAGTTTGCACTGCTGGTGCTGAGGGGGAGAGCAGGGAGAGAGGAGGAAAGGGAGGGAGAGGGCCGGGGAGAGGGGGAGGAGGAAGGGAGGCAGCGTGATGGGAGTGCCATGGCTCGGGTCAGAAGAAGCACAGCAGAAGGTGAGTTTCTAGCTGGGGGCATTGCGTCAATTTGAACCTTTTTTGGTTTCCAGTTTCTGCTCCAAACTGATCAGTAACTGGTACTGGTAACCGAGGTGTGTTTTGAGTCGACTCAAAACACAAGTGTGTTTTGGGTGTGTTTTGAGTCGACTCAAGACACAAACTGATCAGTAACTGGTACTGGTAACCGAGGACATGTAACTGCTGGCTTCTGCGCTTGCGCCTTCCTTCTTCTCCCTTCCCAACGCTCACTCACCCACGCTCATTTCCTCCCTCCCCAAGTGTGCTGCACCAAGAGGTAAGACCCCGCCCAGCCACTACCCTCCCTCCCTCCCTCCCTCCCTCCCTCCCTCCCTCCCTCCCTCCCTCCCTCCCTCCCTCCTCCCTCCCTCCCTCCCTCCCTCCCTCCCTCCCTCCCTCCCTCCCTCCCCCCCTCCCTCCCTCCCTCCATCCCTCCACCCTCCCACCCTCCACCCTTTCTCCCTCCCTCCCTCCCTCCCTTCCCCGCATCCAGCCAAGAGCATCCGGCAGTGGGGCATGCGTCTCCTCCCTCTGCTCAAAGACCCAAAAACCCGCCTGCCAGCAGCAGAGTGCCTGGGGGAGGTGGTCGCACAGATCGGCCCTGTCTTCCTGGCGAGCCACATCGACTCTTCCCCTGAATCGGTATGTGGGAGAACTGACCTGCTGTCTTCATCTGTGATGGTGCGTGCACCATCTGTGAGGGAACCCAAGCCCCGCCTGGCCTGCCACCAGCGCTGTCTCTGGGGGAGGTGGTTGCGCGCATCGACCCCACCTTGCCTGTTTTCTTTCTTTCTTTTTTCCTCGCTTGAAGTCCAGTGAATATTTCGAGACCTGCCAGACCGCTCCTCTGGCTGCCTGAGAGACTTTTCTGTTGACTTCCTTGCAACAATGAAAAGAAGCTCACCTGCCAGGGGTCTCCCCTGCTTTCCAGAATGGCCCCTGTTTCCCTTCGTTGCCTATCTTCTCTTGTCATATTTCCCCTCCCTTTCTTCCTCTCTTTTCCTTCCTCTTGACTACTTCTCGCTTTTCTTACCGTCCGCCACCTTTGTTCATCCCCTCTCTCATCCAATGCACTGTCAGAGAGGGCAGTGCAGCCGAATTTATACAGCGTTCAAAATTGGCCTCTCTTATCCATCCCCTATCACCTCATGCCGTGCACTGCCACAGGAACTGACTGACTTCCTTTCGCTGCTAGAGAGGGCGGCACATCCGGATGTAGCGGCGGCTGTAGCAGATTTTGTGCAGGGGAGTCAGATCCACGGCCATGGGCATGGCATGTCGGCAGCTGGACAGAGGCACGAACGAGCATCTGGAGCAGGTACTGTTAAGCTTGCATGTGCGTACATACCTGGGGCATCATGGGCAGGGGCGTGGGCATGGGCACGGGCGTGGGCACGGGCACGGGCATGGGCATGGGCATGGGCATGGGCATGGGCATGGGCATGGGCATGGGCATGGGCATGGGCATGGGCATGGGCATAGGCATGGGCATGGGCATGGGCATGGGCATGGGCATGGGCATGGGCATGGGCATGGGCATGGGCATGGGCATGGGTTGCACCACCGCAGCTTGAGCATCAGCAGCAACCGCCGGTACAGGCACTCATGCAGCTGGGCTCACTGAACAAGACAGTGGGGACGTGATTAGGGCACTTGCAATCTACAAGCACATTCTTGCACTCACACTTGCATTGCCTACCTCCCTAACTCTCCCCTCCCCTCCTCCTTTTGAGTCGACTCAAAAGTCACATTCTTGCACTCACACTTGCATAGCTGACCTCCCTGTCTCTCCCCTCCCCTCCTCCTTCCACCCTATTCCCCTATGGTTACACCACCACAGCTCGAACATCGGCAACAACTGCCGGCACAGGCATGCATGCAACAGAGGTCACTGAACGAGACAGTGTGCACGCAATTTCGGAAGGGGAGGGCGAGGGAGAGCGAGATGTCCTAGGGGAGGATGAGGGATGGGAAGAGGGAGAAGATAGAGGGGAGGGTGAGGGCGCAGGTGAGGATTCTGAGCGAGAGAAGGGAGAGCGAGAGGAGCGAGAGCGAGAGGAGGGAGAGCGAGAGGAGGGAGAGCGAGAGGAGGGTGGAGACGAGGGAAGATTTGCTGGGGGGGAGATGTATGGTGAAGAGCCTATTGTGTCTGGTCAGAATGTGGGGCAGGGCGGTATGGCTTTGGGGATGCTTCAAAGGATGACATTTGAGGCACCTCAAAAGTCGCCTCACGAGGTACCTCAAAAGCTGTATGGTGAAGGGCCTTTTCCGTCTGGTGAGAATGGGGTGCGAGGGAGTATGGCTTTCGAGGCGAATCAGAAGTTGAATGGTGAAGAGCCTACTGTGTCTGGTGAGATTGGGATGCGAGGCGGTGTGGAGCCTTCGTCTGAGTCCTCCTTCCTCTCCTTCTCGGTGGAGGAGGAGGGGAGGGAGGGAGAGGAGGGGAAACTGGGAGGCGAGAGGGGAGAGGGAGAGGCGGGGTCGCCTGGGTGCTCTGTTACGTCTCCGCTAGTGGGGTCGCAGCAGGGGGGGCAGGAACAACAGCAGGAGGAGGAGGAGCAGGAGCAAGAGGAGAAGCAGCTCTACCACCATGACTACCACCATCACCATCAGCTGCAGCAGCAGCACCACCACCACCATCCTCACCACCAGCAGCAGCAACAGGCGCAGCTGCAACAGCAGCAGCACCACCACAATCATCTGCAGCAGCATCAACATCACCGGGACGAGCAAGAGCAGCAGCAGCAGCAGCTACGTCAAGAGCATGCCCTCTATAGTCCTGCTGCTCCTAACAACGGTGGATCCCTCAACACCTCCTCTTCGTGCTCCCCTCGCCCCTGCTCCCCCGAGCCTTCTTCCTCCTCCTCATCATCAGGAGCATCTGCTGCGTCTGCGGCGTCTGCTGCCTCTGGAGCATCTGCTTCCCTGTCTGCTTCAACAGCCATCACCGATTCTGCAGTGGAATCAGCAGCTCATCACTTAGCTAAGCATGTTTCATTAAGTGCTGCTGTGGATTCTGGGGTTGCTGCTCACAACCCCTCTTCCCTCCCCGTCTATGCTCCTAATGCTGCGGATGCATGTATAGGGAGGGATGAAAGGCTGGATGGGGAGGAGTGGGTGGGTTGGGAGGAGGAGAGGGAGGAGGTGGATGATGCATGGGTGGCCGCTGAAATCGCTGATGCCATGCTGTGGGCAACCGGGAGAGAAGAAATGTTGGATGTATGTGGCCAGGAGTGTAGACATAGATTGGAAGACCACAGCAAGCAGTTGAGTACAGGGAGTGGAGGAGGTGGTGATGGGTGGGGAGGAGTGGAGGAATGGAGGAGTGAGATGGGTGTTGTGGAATTTTATTCGTCACTTGTTGAAGTGCCTGGGGTTTTGGATGCTGCGATTGGTGCTCCAGAGGGCAACTTGGAACGGATTAGCTATGTGGTGAGCATTGCAACAGCTGATTGGTGATGTGTAGATAGGTAGTCAAGCTAGGTAGGACGGTAGGGAAACACTCTTTTACAGTACGTTGTTGTAAATTGTTGGATGAAATGTGCAAAGATGTGAAAGAAACTAATGATGCAAAATGTCCAGATGGAACTCTTACCTTGTACTTGTGCTATTAGCTTATTTTTCGGACCTGAATTGCACTTGAAGTACTGGAAAGGTTTGTTTCGAACAGTTTAGAGAGCTTAATACATAGCATGTATCCGCTGCCATACGCGCTACAACATCAAAATTCTCCTAGCCCGCAACCCCTTCAGCAGAGCTCCCAGTGAAAACCTGAACTGGCAGAAAATTCGTTTTTGGGTCTGCAGGCTGTTCAGTACGCGGTAATAGTAGACGCGTTTTTTGGGATCTACGTGCATCCCGTATCCTACGGCGAGTTCTCCGTACATTCCTGGGACTGACGTGTGTTAAGTTACTTGTCTCCTCACGGCCGTCTATTGCTGCTGTAACCGGCTATTGTCAGCCAGCCGGCAGCCATGTCTACCGGCGGGTGGTTCGACGCGATGAGCGTGCGACACTTTATCATGCAGGCGCTCGGGCTAGGTGCGTGCGATCCGTCGCTAGGATTACTTCGTGCACTATGTAAATCGGCCGATTTGTTTTGGAATTGTACAAAATCGCCTTTGTGCGTCACGTAAGTTAGGCGATTCGCGAGTCATTTCTTCACCTGCATGAGACTGCGCGTCGACTTGACCGTTAGGGTTGGTTGGATTCGTCCGGTCAATCCAACGGATGGAGCCGAACCGACTTCTGAGTCGACTCAAAAGTCATCTTGATTCCGTCCGGTCAATCCAACGGACGGAATCGAACCAGCGGGCTGGATGCGTGATGATAATAAATCTAAGTGCTGGTTCATGCTGGTTCTGGTACTTCCTTTTCTTCCCAGCGTTGCCTGCGACGACCTATATGTTAGCGAACAGTAGAATCTCGTGGAGACATCCTGTCTGCTCCTCTTAATTTCGCGTAGATCTGAAGCGGGATCGTGATCCTAGTAGCTGACAAGGATTCGTTCTTCGTAATTTAGAATGCCGTTGACTCAGAGAAGCGGAATTGCAGACGAGTACTTTCCCGCAGCCCAAACATGACTCATTCCCCCCAGTCCAGAAAACCCTTCCATGAACAACTTATGAAATCTGGCAAATACTCTGACTGTGAAATGGCGTTATGTAACCCTCTTTCTGTCTTCCTGTCTCTTTACTTTCACCCATCACACTTCTCTGCTTCTCCCTCTCCTTCTCCCTCTCCCTCTCCCTCTCCCTCTCCCTCTCCCTCTCCCTCTCCCTCTCCCTCCCACCATTTTCCCATTCCTCCACCCTCCCTCCCTCAATTTGTACCTTTCTTCCCTCCCTCCATCCGTCCCCTCCGTCTCCTCTCCCACCATCCTCGATGCTGCACCTCTGCCAGGCATGATAGTGACGTCAGCTCTCGTCATCTGGAAGGGCCTCATGTGCTGGACCAATAGCGAGTCGCCAGTTGTCGTCGTGCTCTCGGGTTCCATGGAACCCGGCTTCAAACGAGTACGAGTTGTCCTGGCCTTATAACGAGTATACAAGGGCTTATGCATGCGAGCATGCCTCCTCCCCTCTCTCAGTTGCCCCTTATGGAATGGAATCCCCTTGTGTTGTCTTCGTGCTCTCAGGCTCCATGGAACCCGGCTCTCCTTGTAGCGCATTCAAAGTAGTGCGTTCACGCTCTGCCCCCCAGCCTCTCTTCCCTTCTCAGGGCAACCTTGCTCAGACCCCCCTCCCTTCTCTGCGTCTGCTCCCTCCCTGCCTCCCTGTCTCCCACCCCGCTCAGACCCTTCCCCGTTTCCTTCCTCTCTTCCTCTCTCTTCCACCCCCCGATTTGCAGGGCGACATTTCTCTTTCTCCACATGAACCCAACGGCTTTCATGCCCTTCCCCCTCACCTTCGGTTCCCCCCTCACCTTCGGTTTCCCCCTCACCTTCGGTTTCCCCCTCACCTTCGGTTCCCCCCTCACCTTCGGTTTCCCCCTCACCTTCGGTTTCCCCCTCACCTTCGGTTCCCCCCTCACCTTCGGTTTCCCCCTCACCTTCGGTTTCCCCCTCACCTTCGGTTCCCCCCTCACCTTCGGTTCCCCCCTCACCTTCGGTTTCCCCCTCACCTTCGGTTTCCCCCTTCCCTCTCTGCTTCCCTCCCTCCCTTCTGCAGGGCGACATTCTCTTTCTCCACATGAACCCAACGCCGCTCTCTGTGGGGGAGATTGTGGTCTTCAACGTGGATGTGAGTCATGCCACGTGGATGTGAGTCATGCCACGTGGATGTGAGTCATGCCACGTGGATGTGATGTGAGTCCCGTCATGTGGATGTGAGTCATGCGACATGATGTTGGGCTGCACATGTTGCAGCATGAGTGAGAGAGACGTGTGCTTTTGCACTTTTTCTGACTAGAGAGTGTTGTGTTACAATGCGATGGTTCCGTAGTCTCATATACGAAAATATTTGTTTCCTTTGTTAATTCTCGCCCACTATTTCGTGCTATCCCTTCTCACACACAGGGTCGAGACATCCCCATTGTCCACCGAGTCATAAAGGTACATCTGCTTTTCTAACCTTGCATCATGCACCATTATACGCCACTAATCCGAATGCATCATCATATTCTTTTCCATTCAATCTCAATTTCTCGAATTGATGTTTTTCTTTGTGCAGCCTACTTGTGTTTGGGCCCTTTTAACCCATTCCTTGATTTCACACCCTTCACTGAACTTACTTTCCTGTCACTGCTCACAACAGAACAGTCTCTCGCAATTCATCCCTCCTCTCACTCCCCCTCCTCTCACACGTGTGCGTGTTCCAACCCCCCCCAGGTTCACCAAGAGGCTGACCCTGACGAGTTTCAGGCGCTCACAAAAGGTAGGCTATGCGCTCTTGCTCTCAAGGTAGGCTATGCGCTCTTGCTCTCAAGGTAGGCTATGCGCTCTTGCTCTCAAGGTAGGCTATGCGCTCTTGCTCTCAAGGTAGGCTATGCGCTCTTGCTCTCAAGGTAGGCTATGCGCTCTTGCTCTCAAGGTAGGCTATGCGCTCTTGCTCTCAAGGTAGGCTATGCGCTCTTGCTCTCAAGGTAGGCTATGCGCTCTTGCTCTCAAGGTAGGCTATGCGCTCTTGCTCTCAAGGTAGGCTATGCGCTCTTGCTCTCAAGGTAGGTATTCGGCGCTCTTGCTGTTGCTCTCGCTCTTGCTGTTGCTCTTGCTCTTCCTCTTGCTCTTGCTCTTCCTCTTGCTCTTGCTCTCAAAGGCCATGTACGCACGCACTGCAGGTAGGCCAGCAATTCGCATTCCCCACTTGGTTCCCCATCTCTTTCCCTCCCCGCATCACTCCATTCACTTCACCCCCTCTCGCCTCATATGCCTCCTTTCCTCCCTGCCCCTTCCCCGCCTCCTCCCTCCTTGCTGCCTCCTCCCTGCCCCTTCCCCGCCTCCTCCCTCCTTGCTGCCTCCTCCCTGCCCCTTCCCCGCCTCCTCCCTCCTTGCTGCCTCCTCCCAGCCCCTTCCCCGCCTCCTCCCTCCTCCCTGCCCCTCTGCTGGTGAACAGGATGCAGGGTGCCATGCGGCATGATGCTTGGTTAGTCCGGTCAATGAATTGCTTCGCAAAAGTTTTTATTTCTTCCTTCCTTTCCATCCTTCTTTCTCTCTTTCCTTCCTTTTTTTTTCTTTCTTTCTTTCCTTTTTTCCTCTCTCTTTCTCTCTCTCTCTCTCTCTCTCTCTCTTTCTTTCGTTCCCTTTTCTTTCTTTCCTTTCTCTGTGGGCGTGGCTTGGCTATCCCTCTGAGCAGGTGACAATAACGAAGGCGACGACCTGCCACTGTACGCGGAGGGGCAGCTGTGGCTGCGCAAGAAGCACATCATTGGGCGCGCGATGGGGTGAGTGGGGCGTGCATGGGACGAGTGGGGCGTGCATGGGACGAGTGGGGCGTGCATGGGACGAGTGGGGCGTGCATGGGACGAGTGGGGCGTGCATGGGACGAGTGGGGCGTGCATGGGACGAGTGGGGCGTGCATGGGACGAGTGGGGCGTGCATGGGACGAGTGGGGCGGGCGTGCATGGGACGAGTGGGGCGTGCATGGGACGAGTGGGGCGTGCATGGGACGAGTGGGGCGTGCATGTGGCATGGTGGGATGGGTAAACTGGGAGGATGCGGGCAGGGAGCGTCACCTAGGGAGGGGCAGCTGTGCCTGCGCAAGAAGCACATCATTGGGCGCGCTATGGGGTGAGTGGAGTCGCGATGGGGTGAGTGGAGACGCGATGGGGTGAGTGGAGGCGCGATGGGGTGAGTGGAGGCGCGATGGGGTGAGTGGAGGCGCGATGGGGTGAGTGGAGGCGCGATGGGGTGAGTGGAGTCGCGCTGGGGTGAGTGGAGTCGCGCTGGGGTGAGTGGAGTCGCGATGGGGTGAGTGGAGTCGCGCTGGGGTGGTTAGATCATGCATTATATGCTGGGGGAGGTGCGATGTTGTGTGCAGATGCGGGCACAGAGGGTCATGGAGTGAGGCTGGGGCAGCTGTGGCTGCGCAAGAAGCACATCATTTGTTTTTTGAGAATTCTTAAAAAACGTAGGCTGGGGCAGCTGTGGCTGCGCACGAAGCACATCATTGGGCGCGCCATGGGGTGAGTTGAGAGGCGATGGGGTGGGCATGGGACGTGCATGGGGTGCGGTAGGATGGGTTTGCTAGGTGGGATGAGTCTCCTCCCCCCCCCCTCCCTCCTCCCCCCCATACTCCCTCCTCCCCCCCATACTCCCTCCTTCCCCCCCCCCTTCTCATACCCTTATTCCCCATGCAGGTACCTCCCCTATATCGGATATGTCACCATTATAATGACTGGGCACCCCTACAGCAAGGGCCCATGCATGAGCCAATCCTTTGCCCCTGTGTACTGCTGTGCTATGCCCCGTGTCCCCCCCCCATGCAGGTACCTCCCCTATATCGGCTGTGTCACTATTATAATGACTGAGCACCCCTACAGCAAGGCCCCATGCATGAGCCAATCCTTTGCCCCTGTGTACTGCTGTGCTATGCCCCGTGTCCCCCCCCCATGCAGGTACCTCCCCTATATCGGCTATGTCACCATTATAATGACTGAGCACCCCTACATCAAGGTGGTCCCCTTCTCTCCTCTCCTTCCCCCCGTACTCTTACACCCCCCACCTTTTCTCCTTCCTCCTTGCGCTTCCCTCCCCCCATCCCTTCCCCTTCAATCCCCCCCCCCCCCCCCCCCCCCCCCCCTCTCTCCCTCCTCCCTTCTCCATATTCTTACATCCCCCCTCCGTTTCCCCCTCACCCCGCGATCCATCTCGGATTTGTTTTCCCTTTTTTAAACACTACAGTTGTTTGTTTTGCATGTAGCACATTTGTTTCTTGTTTGCTGCTCTTCTTTTAGTTATCATCATGCTGTGATGGAGCAAATCGTTACGCCAGAATTTTTCAAATGCGCTAAGATTATATAATTCAAATCTTATGATGAAACATTTCTCCCTCCCTCCTCCCTTTCCCTTGCCTTGCAGTTCATTCTTATTGGCGTTCTCGCAATACTTGTTCTCACGTCCAAAGATTAGGCTCCGATGCTGATGTATGATGATCCGTTCTGAATCTGCACAATGTGGAATGCAGTAAATTTCACTTTCAATATCAGGTGGAACTCAAAAACAGTTGCTGGTTTCCTTCAGTTCATTTCAAGTTGCAAGATGATTCCACAGGGTGGAGAGAGGAACGAGGGTGTATTCAGTGCGAGCTATTTAAACCTGGGCGACCACCTGCTTAATTATCTTCCGCGCTATAGGGGCTCTGTCTAGATTAGTGGGTGATGTTCTCATACTTACGTTTAGGCACAATAGAGTGTACCATTCTACTATGTTCAACGCTCTCAGCACACACCCCTATCAGTCTAACCAATTAAAGCTATCTTCCGCTCTTTGTCTAGCTCAAGGGTATAATATGTGCTAAAGATTCAACATTGCTTCAAATATATTCCCCCTTTCAAGGAAACATTTTATAAGAGTTTCCAAACAGTCCTGCCTATCGAAAACCAAAAGAACGAAACCAGAATAGGAGCATGGTACAGTGTGTAGATTATACGGAGAAAACCTATGTCAAGAGTAACCAGGTTACAAATAGAAAACCTGGACAGCGTTCGCAGCACGAGGAGCGCATGCAGAGGGGCAGTCGATAAGAACATTGCACTGGTTCCTCCACTGGATGGGCTTCGAACCCTTGCCGCACAGGCCAGGAGGGCAAGTGCTCCTGCAGCAGCGGTACGCCTGGGGGGTCTTCTTGGTGACGGGAACGCCCTCGACCTTCTGGCACGAGAAGGCGGGTTCCTTTTTGTCGCATACCGAGTTGAACATCTTAGCAGTGCAGGACTTGCCAGCCTGCGAATAGCAAGACGATTATGCACGGTTCAGAACGGTTGCAATGTGCAGGAGCAGCAAAACAAATGAGCGAAAATTGAAGGGGGTGGAAAAATCGAGCCTTACAATCTTATTGGCGAGGCAGCGACCGGTTGTGTAGTTGCAGGAGCTAGCAGGCATCTTCTTTCTGCGGAGAGAAACCGACCAGCATCAAGCCACAGAGACGATGGAGTGAGAAGTTGATCAGGGCACCAGAGAGAGAATGCTTCGACAAAGCCAAGAAGAACAGAGAACTTACTACACAAACGGACAAGAGAGCTACCGTTGGCTAGCTGACACTTAACGCTCGAAGCAACACAGCGTGATAAACGATGGGTTGTGAGACGGCCTAAGCAACGCAACGCCACGCTAATACGGAGTTATCGGAGAAATGAACGGTTGTCGTACAGGTCATAAGCAGCGCATTCGTCGCAGAGGTAGTTATCGGGGAGAGCGCTACGGAGGGTCCTGCATGTGGCATAGAGGCCGCAGAGCTTGCTCTTTCTGTCCGGGCACTTGTCCTTGGGCATGCACGAGTTCAGACGAATCTGCCCGTAAGCGAATTGCGCGGAGACCAGCACAATGAGGAGCGACAGCAGGAGGACGCGTGAGCTCGCCATGGCTGGTAGGAAGGAGAATCTAGGGTTCCTGGAAAGTTTCACAACTAGGTTGAATAATCGAGCTCAAGGACCTGTCGGAAAGGTGATATGACTATCGTATGGGGGTTTGATGCTGGGGTGCAGTTCTAGTCTAGATCCGAGGCGAGAATGAGAGGATGTTTTGAGAGCACTGGCACGGTTGGCATGGAGGTGTGGGTGGGAGCGAGGGGGCAAACGAAGCGAGAGAGAGGAAACGCTTGGCGCTACGCGACAAGTAAAGGGAGACGAAAGACGTGCTAGCGAAACCCCGCTCGACCTGGCTGTCTGGGCTGCCAGAGTCCAGCTACAGAGGCCACCTGTTCTGCTGGTTATCACCTGAATATCTGTGCGGGGGTTGTTGAGGTGTAGGCGCGAGAGGGTTTGGTGCGGGAGGAACCCCGGTGGGGGAAGCGCAGGTGTTGGGAGGTTAAAGAAAAGACAAAGCTCTACCTGAAACGTCTGTGTTTCGGGCCGATGACTAGTCCCATCGTCAACGTCGTCAAGGAGGAACATATGCTTGAACCATTGTTTCGCAAATCTCTTCGTTTGCCAACGCGATGCATTTGACGAAACAACATCCGGTTACACGTGAAGGAAAACATGTCAACAACGACGCAAGATGACAGTGGAGAAAACAGAAATCCTGGCTCTTGAACCACCACTTTACAGAACGTACTGAAAGGTGAGAGCCACTACTAATGCATAGAAAAAATATTTTCTTCTAATACAAATCAATCAATTTGGAAAAGCACAGCAAAATATTATAAACTTGTAACAGTAGGAGGGGCTTTTCGAAATCACATCACAAGCTTCACTCACAATATCAACCTTTCCTAGTGTACACAAGCATGCTCAACGAGGGACACCAATTGCTACATAAGGGCAAGTTCCTACGGCCCCTTATCAGGCCAACCTCGTCTCAAGCTCGCTTCAAAACACACTGAAAATTCCCTAAACCCAAAAACCCTCGCTACTTTTACCAGGCAAGGCTGACAAAAGGTTTGCCTGATACGAGAGTAGGAACTGCTACGATCTGTAGGGGATCGCTCCCAGGATCTACTCGGGAAGGTTCGCACGCAGGTAGATAGTGTTGGTGGGCCCTTGACCTCAATAGCAGAGTGAATGTAAAATGCTTGAGATGATTAGAACATGCAAATACAACGATATAAATAAGAGTACAGGGAATTCGAATCGACCTAGCTAGTCATGTACTCTAAGGGGTACATTCCCTTATTCAAACGCATTCTCAACCGTGCGGCGCGTACAGTTACGAAAACTGTTCCCGCCAATTCCTCTTGCCTGCAGCTGCCCGATGCCGTCTGCTCCGACGGTCCAGATGCAGTTCAACCGTCTGCGACGCTTCGAGTCAGTTTTGACTCTTCTCATTCATTCTCGTTACTGCGTGCTTCTTTTGCTGCGGTGAGGAGTGCACAGTAGTGTTCTGATGTCACTATTCGTAACACCCCCCTTCACTCCTGGCCGTAGCTCGACTTGACCTGCTTGACCACTCCGCTGAGTTCGGAACAGTGCTGATACTGCTGGCGTGGTAGTCGCTTCGTGAGGAAGTCTGCTGCCATGTCACCGGTCGGGCAATAGGTCAAGTCAACCTTGCCCTTGTCCACTTCGTCTTTGACGAAGAAATACCGCAGCGCAATGTGCTTGGTGCGGTTGACGAAGCCAGGTTTGTTCGCGATGCGAATCGCGCTCTGGTTGTCGCAGTGGAGGCGAAGGGTGGGCGAAACGGGGATCTTCGCCTCCTGCAGAAGTTCTTGCAAGTAGAGCCCTTCGCGAACTGCTACAGTTGCTGCGATGAATTCTGCTTCGGCTGATGACAGGGCAACCAGCTCCTGCTTCTGCGAATTCCAGGAGATTGGTCCCGTTGGTTCGAGTCGGAACAGGAAGCCAGTCCTGGACCGTCGATTATCGGGGTCTGCTGCGTGATCGGCATCCACGTAGCCGATGAGGTTGAAGGATGGGGTTGGTGCAGTTGAGTAGCACAGCGCAATCTTGGGCGTTGAAACGAGGAACTGTAGAGCGCGCTGTAAATCCAGAAGATTCTCAGCCGTTGCTTTACGTGAGTATTGGGCCAGCTTGTCGAGAGAATCAGGCAAGGTTGGATTGACTATCGAGAGTTTGGTACAAAATAACACAACCCTAAAGTGTTATCCCCTATAACATCTACCCCACTACAGCCTACCAATATATATCACACATATATATCATTTGACACACCCCCATAGGCAAAGTGGGGGAGAGCAACGGGTCACAAGACCAGTCAAGAGAAGCAAAACAAGCTCAGGGTGGATCACAACGTCACCACACATTCTGAGCACAAGCAAATGGCCACAAGGCCAGTTCACATGCAGAGATATATATGAAGCAATGACAGTACAGTGATGGCTACCTAGCAAGAGCCAGCATACAGGTATATATGTATATAGATCACAGTACAAGCAAAGACTACAGCAAGTGTGGAAGCGTAGGCACAAGGCCTAACAGAGTACAAAAGCGCTGATGATCACCAGACGGAAGTGCCTTGGTGAATATATCAGCAGTGTTGGCCCGAGTGGCCACGTAACGAAGACAAAGCTGGCCTCGCTGCTGCAACTCTCGAGCCAGGAAGTAACGCAGAGCAATGTGCTTCGTTCTATGCTCCAGTCTGTGCTCCTCACACAAGGCAATGGCGGCCTTGTTGTCAACGTACAGCACTGGAGGAGAACGAGGCTGCTCTCCCAAGTCAGTCAGCAGGTAGGTGAGCCAGCGTAACTCCTGTGCAGCCATGGCGGTGGCGTAGATCTCAGCCTCACAACTGGAGCCGAGAACTGAAGACGAGCGTGTAGAACGCCACGAAACTGAACCAGAGCCAAGGCTGAAGGTGTAACCCTGTGACGACCGCTGAGTAGCCAGGTCGTCAACCCAAGAAGCGTCTGAGTGCCCAGTGAGTACAACCTCACTCGTCCCTCCAAGCACTAGCCCCATGCCTGATGTGCTGCACAAGTAGCGCAGTACCCTCTTAGCAGCAGCCATGTGCTCAGGTCGGTGTCGACCAGGAGCCACGTAGCGAGCGAGGAGACCAAGAGGGTACGCGAGGTCAGGTCGAGTGCAAGTCATCAGGTACATGAGGCAGCCGACTAGCTCTGGGTAAGGACCACTCGGCTCTACGGACTCGTCCGAAGGTGGAGCTGAGAGCGTGTGACCTGTAGCCAGAGGAGTGGCCTGTGCTGAAGACCAGGTGAAGCCGAAGCGCTGAAGGACCTGCTGCACCATGTGTGACTGAGTCAAGGTGATGGTGCGGCGTGCTCTGTCCCGGGTGATCTGCAAGCCAAGGTAGCTGCGCAGCTCACCCAAGTCAGTGCACGTGTGTCTCTTCTGCAGCTCCGACTTCACGTGGGCAAGAGCCTCAGTGTCAGCAGTGGCAAAAACCAAGTCGTCGACGTACACGAGGATGTAGAACGGCGGCAGTGAAGTGTCGGTGCGCAGAAACAGCGACGGGTCAGCAGTAGAAGGCGCAAACCCAAGAGCCGCAAGCGTAGTCCTCAGTGTGTCGTGCCACTCACGTGGCGCCTGGCGGAGACCATAGACTGGCCGCCGGAGGCTCCACTGGGTGCCAGGAGGGAACGACCCAGTGAAGCCCGGGGGGCGGCGCAGCCAGATCTCCTCGTGCAGGCTGCCCTGTAAGAAAGCAGTGCTGAAGTCAAGAGAGTGAAGCTCGTAGTCACGGTGAGCAGCAACGTGCAGCAGCACCCGAAGAGTGGTCATCTTCGGGGTGGGGGAGAAAGTCTGGAAGAAGTCAACTCCCTCTCGCTGACTGAAGCCTCGAGCCACGTAACGCGCCTTGAAGACAGGCGGAGAACCCGGCGGCCGCTTCACCCTGAAAATCCACATGCCACTGACGATGTTCGCCCCAGGTGGGGGAACCTCGTCGACATAGGTGCCTGTGGACTTCCAGGAAGCCATCTCTGCGTCCATGGCTGCCTGCCACTGAGAGGAGTAGGGACTCTCTATCGCCTCTGCGTAAGAGCGCGGAGTCGGGATGTCTGGTGCATCCGGGTCTCCCTCAGGGGCAAGTAGCGAGGACACAAGATGAGGTAAAGCAGCAGCAAGACACTGGAACTCCTCCTGCCTGTCCTCAAGGACGTCCGTGCTAAGAGCACACTCACCCCCGACGGACGGAGGACAGACAGACGCAGACTCAGCAACAAGACTGGCGGCGTAGTCTAGACGACAGGCAGCAGCAAAGTCAACAAGCTCAGCGACAAGAGCAGACGCAGCAGTAGATTCAAACGACGGGTCAGTGACAACAGTGGCTAGCAGACGCGTGACAGTAGGGTGGTCAGCACGAAACCGGTCAGACTCAGGGTCTGGAACGTCAGGTAGAGAGGACGCAGGAGGAGACGGCAGAGGAACAGGCTGCAGAGCAGAGGAAGGACGACGAACTACGAGGTGTGCGCGGGGGACAGCCGGCTGACGCGAACGAGGAACACGACGACCGGTACGACCAGGACGAGCAGGCGAGACAGGACGCGACACAGGCTCACGACGCTCAGCAGGACTACCAGTCTGCTCAGTGTAAGGAGAAGGAGCAGGCAGCGGTGAGCCAGGCTGTAACGGAAGACCAGTAGACGACGGGAGAGTAAGAACCTGACGAAGAACAGAGTCAGACGGCGGCAGAGACGACGGAGACGGCGGAGCGAAGAACAGTCGTGTCGGCGCAGCTGCATCAGTACCGGCAGCTCCAGCAGCTCCAGTGCCTCCAGCAGCTCCAGTACCTCCAGTAGCTCCAGTACCTCCAGCAGCTCCAGAAGCTCCAGTCCCAGAGCCGACACCTCCAGTCCCAGGGTCTCCACCCTCTGTGTCTCCAGCAGTAGCACCCCCAGAACCAGCACCTCCAGTCCCAGGGTCTCCAGCCTCAGTGTCTCCAGCAGCAGCACCCCCAGAGCCAGCACCTCCAGTCCCAGGGTCTCCAGCCTCAGTGTCTCCAG